CGCATGTGTGTGCATGTTGGACATTTTTTGCACCGTACGTAGGTTTGTTTTGTTCCGCAACCATGCAAATCGGAGGTGCGGGAGTAGGAAGAACATTCAACATTTGAAATGAAAGTGGTCTCCGTCCCGTTGCCTTGTTTTTTGCGTCTCTCGCTTACAATTAATTCAAGGGTGTGTTCTAAAATCGCATCATTAATAGGAGTAGAGAAGCGGTGAAACAATTACCGGTGAGAATTGGAACCTGGTTCTGGACCCCCCCCCCCCCCCCCCCATCCTAGATAAGTCACCCTCTCAGATCGGATCCCACCTCAGCACAGAAGATTATGTCCCAACACTAACTGGTAGAACCCATGGAGAGCCCTGAACTGGACATATTATTAAAAAGTGCTTTATAGCGCATCGGATTCCTCCAGTATAAATAGATATTCTGATTATGAAACCCCTCGGAACGGGATTACACCCGCATATCCAAGGCACTTTGAACGCTCTCTAGAATATAATTTTCTCTCTCCCCTGGTCTCAAATCCCCTCCTTGTGTCCAGTCACAAAGGTGGATTCTCAGCTGTTCGATCACGACCCGGTGTTTACCCAGTTCCCACCCCCCTCCTCGATACCCGAGGCGATGGCCCACGCCACTTGGTCACTGGACTGGAGATTGCTCACGGGAAAGTAGATCGTGGAAGAGATCGGGAGGGAAATGGAAGGGTTCATGGCGGTCGACTCGGAGTCGGACTGCCCCCGCCCCTCCACCCACCGTGAAAATATGGGACGCCCTGAAGGTAAAAAATAAAATAAGTATAACCCGTAAAAACAAAGTTTTCCACTAAAAATCCTTTATATGCGTGGCGGCTAGAGTCCTCTCGTCCTCTGGCTTGAGATGGCTGCCACCTATGGGTCAGATGATTGTCTGCCAGTATTAAGCAATTAGTAATTAAATATTTAATTTGTTTTCCCTAAACAGTGTAAAATTTTGGAAAAAAAATTTCACGAACATTAATTGTCTCGCACAACGAGTCTGTGTGCAAAATGTCAGCTCGATTGGATCACGGGAAATGGGTTTAAAAACGACCGAAAGATTTGCACGGTCGTAAGCAAGCAAGCAAGCACGCAAGCACGCAAGCAAGCAAGTGAACTTAATATAAAGGATTTAATTAAAAGTTAATAAAAGTAATAATGGAAATAAAATAATAAATCACGACGTTTCGGAGGCAACACAAGTCTCCGTCATCACGTGGGGTCCCATTAATTTTATTTTCTACCTACGTGACTTTACCGAAGAAACCTAAGAGTATGAATCATTGCAGTCACGAAAGCTTCAAATCTAGAATTACGCCCTGAAGCGTTTCTTGAGGTGCTCATTAATTTAAAAAGGGAGCTAGCAGGATTTGACAAAATCAAAGGGAAACAACGATCCCACCGAGGAAACGCTCTGCGCACACTCTCATGCTACCCACAAGGCTACACAATCCCAATAAACCATCCGGGAGATTGATTCCACTTTTGCCAGATATTATTCTCCATGATCAAACCTCGCAACTAGTTCTGAAGGCCTCAACTACCATTCCACGACCGCTTCCTCCTCCACGGGGCGAAGGAATGAGCACAAATGTCAAAGTCCAGACGGAATCATACCCATGTAGCTTCCGTTGACAATGAAGCGGGTCGTCCCCTTACGAACTCTAAAGACATCAATGCTCACTTGAACGTTTTTTTCTACGAGGCTCTTTATATATTGGACTCCCCTAACGAGTGAGAAATTTGACGCTTATCTTTGTAAACTGTTCCTATCCAGACTCACCGACCCCCTCCCCCAGCCGCCCCCTCTTGTAAGAGAGTTGGAAAGGCCTCTTGACTGACACAGCGTGAGGGGGCCTTCAACCAGCACCGGATTGACAGGAGGGTTGTAAAGATTATTAGTAGTAAATATTATAGGGCTGACCTTGATTAAAAAAAAAATTATTGCAAAAAAAAAATAATATATTGCATAATGTGTTTAAGACAATGATAAGGCTACGTTTTTTCCCAGTTTGCAAATATGACGAGTAATGGTTAAGTCACCTGATTGCACAGTAACTCTGTGGCTGATTTGTATAGAAGTCAACTTCTCATGAGCTGACTTCCCAGTTTGTATCCCCCCACCCAAAAAAAATAAGATTTGACTGATGCAGCGAAGTTTTCTGTCTTAGTCTGTTGTGCAAGTCTCCCTACCTCACACCCCCCTATAACCGCAGAGGCAATGCAGCAACAAAACACAAATGAGATGGCTGGAAAAAATAAGAATAAACCACGTGGTTATAAAATAAAATTGATTCCCACAAACAAAAACACACACACACCCATCAGTTTGATGCTGATTCCAAATGGGTGTTTATTATACCAAGAGCATCGTCATGAAATGAAAAGCAAAAGAGTTGTGGCCTTCACTTCAATTATAACCTTCACTTTAATAACTCGTGCAAAACCGTGCGCTTATCGTAACTCCGCATTTAGCCAAGCCGCACTCAATTAGCCGTAACCACGACACGGGCAGTTCCGTTCTGGTTGCCGAGTGGATTCTCACACACGAGGTATAACAACTCTAAGCCCTCCACCGCTCAAGCCCTCGTGCGTCCAATGCACGCGTTCTATATTTCGCAAGGACCGCACAGCATCCACTACGACATTTTGCCCCACGGTTTGGTCTGATGAACTAAGGCGGTGCGCCAATGAGTCGGTGTGCATCTCGCAACCCCAGCGTGCACAACACCTGGATCTTCCAGAGTAGTCTCCAAATCCAAGTACTAACCCAGGCTCAAAGCGTGCTTAGCTTCTGACGAGATCGGACTCAATACGGTCGGTGCTTGGGTCGTCAGCTGACTGCACGACCCGTGAAATAATGGCAGGAATTGCTGGTCTATTTTTAAGATAATGATACGCTCGTTCATGCGACTGTCCGTAACGCACGGGGACATACAGGAAAATTACAAGTTTGGACGGGTTCTGTGTCCTGTTCTTTCACACAAACAGAAAATCCGTGGTTGTCCATTGTAGAAAACCGAAAAGAAACAAGTTGTAACTCATTATAAATAAACAATCTCTCACACACGCCGTGTCCTCTTCATTCCCACGAACAGAGAGAAAGGCCGCGCGTCCATTGAGCTCAGTCGCAGTCGCAGTGGGCAGAGCGTGCCTGCCTCCCTCGGTGCGTCTCTCGAAGTGTAGCTTCATCCTCCTGCACGACTCTTGTCTTGTGCAGGAGGATGAACGCTCCTTCCCAGTGTTTACTGCACAAGCAATTGCGTTGCGCTTATTGATACCTTCACGGGATGACGTTTATTGTGATTGAGATGCTATCGTGAATAATTGAAATTTATTTTGATCATTTATTTACGGACAAAATCATGATTTCTACATGAAATTATCCAATCATCAGTCCCCTGTACACATTCGCCGTATTTTTACCGAACAAGTTCAGCGGGTTCATGCTCGTAGATCGTGATGACAATGGGTTCCATCTGCGGTGGTAAAAGCCAATTCAAGCTAAATTGTATGTGGATGCCTTGTTTTTAATTGTTTAAATATCCTAATGGGTGGCGCAGTAATATAGGAGCTAAACTAAACTTTTATTGTATTTTACCAGTTAAGGCGGATTGATCTATATGACTCTTTTTCAGAAGCGATCTGGTCACAAACGAGAGCCCAACGCGAAATGGCTTATCATCACGTGGGACTTTATAGCGGCCAAATACTCTAAACGCATCTTGATTCTTAATGTGGGAGGGAAAAACTGGAGGACCCTGAGAAAATGCCACGCAATCATGGCGAGAGAGACACGCAAACTCCAAATATACAGCAGGCGTCAAGGTCGGGATCGAACCCACGACCTTCTGTATACCAGGCGAGGGAGTTAACATCTCGCCACCGTGGCACTCCATCGTGGTAAGATTTACTGCGTTCTGAACCCGGTCTCCTAAGTTCGATTCCCAGACACGACTAGCAACACGACTAACATCAGTCGACATCTTCAATTTATATCTGAACGTGTCCTGGGCCCCGCTACCACGTCCTGACCCCGCACCGACTAACGTCGTGAAGTATACCGTAAAACAATCCCAAATTCCTAAATAGTTTGGGGAAGGCATTCATCCATCCGTGCTAACCTCTGACACGCACGATTGGTAACGTACGGTGCGAAAGAAGTTCCACATACGAACATTAGTGGATAAAAAAAACAGCTGCAGGTCATGAATCAGTTGCCAAGTGTGTCTACGATGTGTCCGCTCTCACGTGCGGAAGAGATAATGGATCTCATGGGAGGCCTAATGACACATCTCCCGACGCACAACATCGCGCGGTTCACTTGCGAGCAAGTTGGCGACATCGTCGCTATTGTCCAAGACGTTTAAGTTCGGTTGACGAGCTGAATTTCCGAGGTTGGCAGCTTAAACCACGCGTTGGGAGACGATCTTTCTTTTTTGTTGCCTCGCAAAATAGCACCGGTGACACTCTCACATCCGTTGGGTCACGGGAAGCCAAAAATTTTGAAATGGCGCAAATGTCTGCGCAATGAGACGCTTCCACACGGCTCATCGGAAGAATGTTAACAGATAACACGTGCCGACCTCTCGCGCCTGTAACCCTGCTGCTGCTGCACTCGTTTTACCTTCATAGCCGCCCCCCACTGCCGCAGCATAAGGAGATAAAAGTGACGTCCCGTACGGCGAGCACCGCGTGCCCGTTACGCGTTGCGAAGCGAGTGGAGCTGGTGACCTCTCCCACTCTCGCCGTCTCACACGACCGCTTGCCCTCCCGGTATTATACTTCGCGTCGTTCGCCAAAGGCGGTCACCTCCCCCCGCGCAAGTCATAAAACAATGCCACAACGATGAGCACATCATCATCATCATTGCCTCGCTGAGAATACTTGGCCAACACAGTCTCAGTTACAGCAGTGAGTGAGTGAGTGAGTCGTGGGGAGCGGGCAGGGCAGGGGGGGGTGGTGGTGGTGGCGGCGAGCGAAAATAAAAAAATATACATTTCTTATAAATAAATAAAAACAGCCCATCGTGGCTTCTTCCTTCCATTAGCGTCAGCTGTTTACAATAAGTTCATTAAACGGGACGGGAGCAGCAGATAAGCGCGACAGAATTCATCAGCAGGAGATAAGTGAGCACTCGCGCGCTGCCGAGCCTCCCGTTATACCGCGGCCGAGCGCGCGATCTGAGTTGCACACACGGGGAGACAGAACAGGCCCCCGGCGGAGCGCAGAGCCGTCGCTCGACCGCAGGGGAGAACCATGCGCAGAGCCTCAACCCTGCTGTTCCTCGTCCACACCTTCAACCTGCTCGTATGCTCCGTGTCCTGCAAGCCCGTGGCCGAGGCCAATGGCGAGGAACCGACCGAGAGGTGGCAGTCGGAGCGACGAGGTGTCGTCGACGACGACGAGGAGACGGCTGCCCGTCCGTCCGGAGAGACGCGGCGTGACGAGCGGCTAGCGTCCATCGTGGAGAGCATGAAGGAGGAGTTCCTGAGGAGCCTCAATCTCTCCGGCATTCCGCTCCACGAGCCCTCCTCGTCCGAGCCGCCGCCGCAGTTCATGGTCGACCTGTACAACAGATTCGCCAACGACAGATCGTCCATGCCCTCGTCGAACATCGTGCGCAGCTTCAAGAACGAAGGTGGGTGAGCCTCGGGTTGCGTTGGGGGGGGGGGGGGGTGAGAGGTTTGCGTTTTGGGGTCAAAATTCAGCAGGGATCGATTCAACGTCGCAAAACGCTGTTACGTGTTGGGGGTGGGGGGACAGGCTTCGAAGTTGAATATTCCTACTGAAATGCCTAAACACCTTGGATGAAATGTAGGAGGGGGTGGGGGGGGGGGTAAAAACCACAGTCTCATGTGATCTTTGCAACTTTAATAGAGTTGACACCATCAGCAGCCGCCGTGTCCACCTCCCCAAGCTGTTGTCATCCCACACGGTCCTGCGATGCAGCCATCCAAACGCGACCAGACCCAAAACCGCTTGGCATTTTGTTTTGGTTTCTCTGTATATATGCATTGTTTAGACATGCTTGGTAAATACTTGGCTTGTCGAGCATGCTTCCCCGTCTATGCTCCCGGCCTTCACCGAAGCGCAACTGACCGTCGGCTGTGGGCTCTGGGTCAGACGACCCTTGAGAGCGGAGCGTCGTGCGGAGGCACTCGTCCAGCGAGTCGATCGACCGCAGGGCCGCTGTAGATGCTCGTCGGACATTGCGCCACGCGTAGCTAATTACGCTCGGGCAACGTGGACCGTACGTTTGCCATAACGATCTCTCTTTCTCTCGTTGAACGGAACAGAATGTAAAGACCGGGAAGGCGCGTCGGGCAGTTGCTCACGGGGCGCGCTCAGCGTTCACGCACCCCACGTGCACACTCCACCACCACCACCACCACCACCACCCTCTAACCTCGTGTCTCTTTGCTTACTCACGGAGTTTACCGGAGCCTCGATATGACGATTGGCGCAAGAACGTGACGCTGTCAACGTTCGACTCTCGACGTTTTGCGGTGGCGTCACTTTGGCTCGCGACTATAAAACAATACGCACAACGCACAACGCGTACGCTACGGCCTGCATACAAAATATAATAAATATAACAATACCACGTGAAGTCTGCTGGCAATGACTGGCGCGTAGCATACACGTGTTGAAATTACAGTTTGTTTGTTTTTCATGTATACATTGTAGAAATGTATTTGCCTAGCGTAAGTGGCATGCACAGTTTATGTTGGTAAAGATATATACGTGTATATGTGCTGGGGGAGAGCTGGCGCCAGTGACCCGAACACCGCACGATTAATCCAACGATGTGGGTTGGATTCCGAGTCACGGCTAACATCAGGGGATCTAACCCTCCGCCACCCTCCCCCCACATCTCGCCAACACCTTCACCGACCAGAGTGGTGAAGTATAATGAAGCATTACCCTTGGACCCAGAAGGGCCTTGCGTCCTGGCTAATTGGGCGATACCCTGCACCGAAGCGAAATGGTGAATAACAAGTCGTGAGCCTCACCAAACATTGTCGACAGAAAGGCAAGGCACGTCAAACAATTAACAGAGTTGTCACGTGGCACCTTTATTAATTGGCCCTGACGAGTGGAGGAGGGTGTACGACACACATTGTACTCACATGATCTGACCCCCCCCCCCCCCACCAAAATGAACCATGAGCGTTACGTTGAAACATCGCCTTCAGATTACCAGATTACCGCTGTGTTTACGGTAAAACTCCACGATCAGCGTGCACTTCAATCGACGACAGCTCCCAGTCTCAAAGCGCGCCCCGTCTCACACAACCACCCGCGCGTGCCTCCCGTTGCCCTCTGCCCGTCCCAGATGTATCCTCGTTCCGAACGGAGGAAGACGCCGTGAGGCAGCACGCCCTGCTCTTCAACGTGTCGCTCCCGCCGCACGAGCTCGTCACCATGGCCGAGTTGAAGCTGCGCTCCGTGCTGGACAGCGACCACCGCCTCCTGCCCGAGCACGCCAAGTCCCTGCAGAGGAGCGTGTCCGTCTACGAGCTGTGCGACGAGGAGGAGGAGGAAGGCAGCCCCGTGTCTGGCCGCACGGTCCTCTCCTTCCTCGCGTCTCGCACGGTCGTGGGTCGCGGCGGCGGCGGCGATGAAGACGTCGCGGCTGGCGGCGGCGCCTGGGAGACTTTCGACATCACGAGCGCCGTGCAGCGCTGGGCCCGCACGGGGAAGAGCACGCACCGGCTGGAGGTGCACATCGAGACGCTGGAGGAGGCGAGGTACCGGCGAAGCTCCGACGGCGTCGGGCCGACGGCGGCGGCCTCCGAGCCTCAGCCGGGCGAGCCGCTGCTCGTCGTCTTCTCGGACGACCGGAGTCGCGGCAGGGCGACGCAGAGGCAGGCGGAGCTGGACGAGATGATCGATCACGAGCGCGAGGAGCCGCTCCTCCTGCAGGAGGTGCTCGGCGCGGGCGAGGCGGCGGCCCACGGGCTCGGCGACGTGGTGGAGGAGGTCCTGAACGTGCGCCAGAACATCCTGAGCTACGAGACGCTGTCGCGGTACCGGCGGCACGCGAAGAGAAACTACTGCAAGCGCACGCCGCTCTTCGTGAGCTTCAAGGAGATCGGATGGGACTCGTGGATTATCGCGCCGCCGGGTTACGACGCGTACGAGTGCACGGGCCAGTGCATCTTCCCGCTGACCGACCACCTGAGTCCCACCAAGCACGCCATCGTGAAGACGCTCATGCACCTGGCGCACCCGGACAAGGTGGCCAAGGCGTGCTGCGTGCCCACCAAGCTCGACTCCATCTCCATCCTGTACAGGGACGAGGCGGGCGTCGTGACGTACAAGTATAAATACGAGGGCATGGTGGTGTCGGAATGTGGCTGCAGATAGTGCTAAGCCGCCCACGTGCACTGTTTACCTGATGGTCGAAGTGAGAGCGCGCGTTTGTTTGCGACTATCTCGCCCGCTGGCCATCTGTGAGGTGTCTGTTAGCGTGCGCCATGGAGTTGTGAAATAAGTGGGGTGTCTCGTGCCTCGGTCATCTGCTTGGCGTCAGTGCCTCTGGCAGAGACAATCTGCGGGCACATTTGGAGATAGCGGTGCCGCGCGTTATTTGCAGAGCGTCCTCCCTTTACTAAAGGGGCTTCTGCCGATTGTTGCGCACGGAGGACCTTTTTGCTTATGCTGTTGTTGTTGTTGCTGTTTAAATTGTGTGCGCCCGAAGCGGACCGGTGTTACGCGAGCAGATGTGCGAGGCACGGAATGGGGGCGCGTGGTTGACAGCGCCAAAGCAGAGCCACCACTCACTCGGTTTAGTTTCCGTAGAGAATTTGAGCTTCAGCCGAACAACGGTCCGGCCCAGGTCGTGCCGCGAAATCACATTCGGGGCAAAAATTGACGGTCCCGCTTGAGTTGCTCGTGCAATTCAAAGTGAGCGCATCCAAAATGTGAATCGGAGAAGACAAAAACGAGGCGCGCGGACGCCGTGGGGTTTTGTCACTCGCTCCAACGCGCCGTTGGTCCTCGGAAATGTTTAATTAGCGATAGTAGCAACATCGCTCTCGGCAGCCGTAGGCAGCCGTAGAGATAACGGTGCTCAGATGGCGAGCGGATCTGGCGTGGAAAAGCGCGAACGCAACTCTGTGATCGACGTGGCCTTGATATCAAAAGGGTGAGTCCCGCATAACAACGCCACCTTATACCCAAGTTGAATTCCCAATTGAATTGTCATTACGAGGGCGAACGTGCCCTCCTCCCGTTGCGCACGGACGGACAACCACACGGCATACTCGAAATTGAACCTTCAGGTTTAACAGCGTTAATAAAAGGTCAGAGCAGAAGTTCCCAGCTGCGGAATTAAGTTAATTTCTTCTTCTTCTTCTGGATCTCGTAGCTGCATGATTTGGTAATCGGGTCTTGACGTCGTTGATCGTCGAGTCTCAAATTGCAATTGTCCCTGTAATCCAGGGGTAAGGAACGTCCGGCCCGCGGGCCGTGTAAGGCCCGCGAAATCATTTGGTCTCTGGCCCTGCCAAGGCAACCGCAGGCGGGACTCGAAATTCAATAAATCTCGGAGCAAACCTGGAAAAGCAGTTGCGAGTAGCAGCAACATCATCAATACCAGCCAACATCACACACGCCTCGCCAAAGAGAAGCAGTTCCAGCCGTCACATTAGGGGCGATTGAATTAAATGTTTGACCAAATATAACAACTGGCTAATTTTTAAGTTGATAATTTTGTATGGCCCGCGAATGATGCTATAAATATCAAAATGGCCCTTGGCAGAATAAAGGTTCCCCGCCCCAGCTGTAATCGAACGTAGTTAAGAGTCAGAGATGAACTGTCGAACATTCTTGCCTCGTTGACTCGTCATAATAGTCTGTGTAGAATGTGTAAAAGCCGAGCACACTTCATATCGAATGGTTTCGAAACTTCTAGACATGCCAGCGCGTCGAACAGATCACATGTAACCATACGCTGTCTTGATAACCGGCGTTCGCTTTGGAACAGTGGCGCAATGACTAGCCCAGTGGCTCTACGAAACTGACATTGGCTAGCGCAGTGTCGCTATGAAACTGACAATGGCTAGCGCAGTGTCGCTATGAAACTGGCAACATAAGTTCGATTCCCGGGCACGGCTAACATCAGCGTTGAGTGACATCTGCAAAGGGTTTGGATTTCACTACTCCCGACCTCCATGACCAAGCCAACGCGGTGGGTGCGCTTGGGTAGGACACGTGGCTAGGGTCAGGGGACGATGACCGACGGACGAGAAACCGGGGACAGAAAGGCAGCGAAAGAGAAGAACCACGCACGAGAAGGCGGCCGTAGCAGCAGCAGCAGCAGCGACGAAGCGATGAGATGCACAGCGCGCGCTGGAGCGAGACGGATCGTGGCATCATAGCAAGTCGAGGCATGGCGACGACACTGCCGGATGAAGGAGGCCTCCATCGTGGATGAAGCAGGCCTTCATCCAGCTGTGGATAGATCATTGCCGATGACGACGATGATGATGATGGCGGTGTTGGCGATGGCCGTATAGCAAAATGGAACACGAGTTAAGTGCGCTTCAATGTGAAGATTAATTTATTGGTACGATACTGACACACAGCTATAGATGTATATGATTTGTTACGTCCAAGATATATAATCACGTATTTAAGCTCTTGTACAAATCATAAACTGCGTTACAAAATACCCTTTTTTTCGGACGCAAATGATTTATTAAGGACACGGTTATCTAACCCTATAGGCTGATAAGACGAGCACACTAGCACCAGCGGTGAGTGATATCGGAACAAGTATCGGTCCCCCAACCCCGCTCCTTCACAAACCCACATTGACCAGCGAGGTGAAGTATGGTCAAACAACCGCCCCATGACCACCGACACACGGAATCGTACGGTGGTCTTCATCCAGCAGTGGATTGCCAAAAGCACCGGCTGTAAATGATCATGATTCATTTGTATAATTGTTTTTATTTTCTCGGCTATTAAAAAAAAGTGCTATCTATAAATTATGAATGTACATGTGAGTACGCTTTCAAATACCGCGTGTATTCTGTATATATATCTAGGCCTAATCTTTTCAACCCGTGCAAAGTATTATTTATATATATTAAACTTTAAAGTTTATCGATCACAAAATACTCCAGACACCCAACGTCACCGCTGGATGATAATGTAACATCGGCTTCTATCCCGTGACAACTTCACCAGCCGCCTTGTAAGTGTGTATACTATATATGTGACCAGCCGTATGTTTTTTTTTTATCTCAGGACAATGTAAATGTGTACAGTAGATTGTTAATTTAAGTTTAAGATGCAATTAACGCGTACCTTATTTAAAACTCGCGCGCGAGTGTGTGTGTGTGTGTAAGATTGTTTCCATGATATAATTATCATCATCATTATTATTATTATTTGAAGCGCTTGACGGTATTACGAAGTTGCTTTGGCCTATGCGTGTGACGTATTGTACAATTTTAAAACATGCAAAACAAGCCAAGAGTATATATATATTCACGTGTTTGTCGTAACTTTCGCTACTATGAAATCCGTGACTTCTATTTATTTCAATGCCTGTCGCTACTCCCCCCTCGTTACCCGCTCCCCCCAAGAGCCTTTGCCGATGGCGTTCTTGGCGATCTGTAAAAATTCATATTGGAACAATAAAAACCAGACCAATGCAAAAAGAAATTTGACCGCCAAGCCTGTTTAATACGTCAATGATGCACATGCACCCGTACATTATTGTTATTCCGTTGAAAAACACAGCACACACACACACACACAACCTCAGTTGATTTGCTTGCAGTATAGCTTGCTCAGGGGGCGGACAGCACTTCAAAAGTCGCTCGCAGCGGGCATGCCACTCGCCTTCGACGTTCGAGACGAAGCGGGTGAAACACGTGTAAATGTGTAAATATTTAACTTGCTGGCGGAAACTGCAGCTCATTAACTGATAAGAAGCCACCACATGCGTGTGTCTAACACGTCAACCGCGCCGAGTCCCAGTGTGATAAAATACAACAAAAAAGAAATAGCAGCAAAAAAAATGTGCAGTTCAGTGAAAAAAAAGGGAGAATTCTTTTCTCTTCAAATCGTCCGAAATGCGCGTCTTGTTGTGATAGCGCGGGATTACGTCTGCCTGCGAGGGCTGACTGAAAGCAGGAACGACCTCCCCCCCGTCGCCTTATCGGGCCGCGGAATTCGACAATTTCCTCCTATAGGACGTCACGGCGATGCCGGGGGTCAGGCAAAAAAAAAAATTAGTTTATATACAACAAAAAAAAACTTTCGCTGCCACTGCTGCTGTATTTCCGAACGGAGCTCGCAATTAGCGGCTGCTATGCGGCCCGGCTTCTAAAAGGCCCTGGCTGTCTCGGCTGACGCACATCCACCACCCGCTGTGTGTCACACCAACCAAAGGTTGAGCACCCGGCGATTTGCTGTGACCCAACTGACAAGGCGAATTGATAAAAGCTCGCTACGTGGGTTTATTTCTTCAAACAATGTTTTTCCTCTCCCTCTCTCTCTCTCTCTCCCCTCCTCCAGATTATATTCTAGCTGCGCTATCTGCGTCATGACACGATATGAAGGAATGTCCGACTCTCGCAGAACCCAGTGTAACTTTGCCCCAGTGTTAGGTAGAACTGGTCGGTATACACCATTGAACGAGGAAGTTAAATGTAGGTCCGTGGAGACGCGTGATATGTCATTGCCTCTCTTGCAAGCAGGACCTGCGTGAAAGGAAAATTAATTTAGAATACAAGAGAATGTCTTGAATGGTTCATTTGTGAAACGCATCATCTCCATTATTGTTTAACCCATACATTAATGCGCATTTTGGAATCCAGCTAAGAATGCGAATGTTAAACGTATAAGAAATGAAAATATATTTACTGGCAAGGAAAGTGACGAGATTGGGCAAGTGGAGACAGTGCAGAAATTGGCTCAAAATGCAATAAAATTTTAAACAAATTGGCTAAAGGCAGAGGGAAAAAGTGACATTCGACATAGACCAATCAAAATGTGAGCTTACGCATAGCTCAATCAAAACGTGAGATTAGACAAAACCCAATCAACACGTAAGATTAGACATTGCCCAATCAAAACGTGAGATTAGACATAGCCCAATCAACACGTGAGATTATACGTAGTCCAATCAAAACGTGAGGTTAGAGATAGTCCAATCAAAACGTGAGATTAGACATAGCCCAATCAACACGTGAGATTAGACATAGCCCAATCAAAACGTGAGATTATACGTAGTCCAATCAAAACGTGAGATTAGACAAAGCCCAATCAACACGCGAGATTAGACATAGCCCAATCAAACAATTTCCAGGGATTATTTTTTTTGGTACAGGATATGTATCAATGTTTCCATGCAACTCAGCTTCAAGCGACGTTGAAATTTCGACGCAGTCAGGGAGGCGATGCGATTCCAAAATCGAGGGGCACGAGCCGAAGCCAAAAGTAGTTCTGCAATATCGCATCACTGGGTTTGAGATCCATTCAATTGCCTCGAATCCACACTGGGCAGAGCACCGACTCGCGTACCCTGTCTGCTGTAGGGCTGTTCGTCGCATGGCAATCAAGAAAAACGAGTGTGGTGACTTTATTTCTCATGCTTAAATTGAATTAAACAAAAATATTATGATGCTTAAATTTCGATTTAAAGCTTTCGTGACTACAGGGATTCATCTTCTTGGTTCTTTCGGTAAAGTCAGGTAGAATGGAAATAATAAAATAATAAAAATAAAACATTATAAAATAATTCTCACGACGTTTCGGCCACAACGCAAGCAGCCGTCCTCAGGTGAAGACCAGGTCTGCCGAAACGTCGTGAGAATTATTTTATTATTTGTATTTTTATTATTTTATTATTTCCATTCTACGTGACTTTACCGAAAGAATGATGCTTGTTTAAAACAGTAATTGGTGACTGGGTTGAAACAATCAATTCGCTGCACTTGAGAATGGGCCTGAATCTCAATTCCTGGCCAAAGATAACGTCAGTCACGAGTGGTGTCTGCACCAGCGCCACCCGAATTAGCCATTCTTAATGCATGTTAGAAAACAGTCCGAAGTGCGATCATTCACGGGGCAAGTGTAACATGTACAGTACAGTACAGAACATTAAAAAAACAATTATAAACATTGAAACAAAACAATTTTGTAGGAAAAGTTTGGAATATGGTTTGTATAACCTCGCCTTCTTTCTTTCTCCGCCTAACTCACTTGACCTCTTGAAAATAAAATACACACTCACTGACTTTCTACTACGTTGCACAGAAGAAACATCGCTGTTCAAATGTGTTCAGAGAATATGCGTCGTAAATGAAGTTTGTGCGTCGTAAATCGATCCACGGTGGCTTTATATAAACGTCGTAAATGTTGGTCGAAAATCGTAAACGGTGTAAATGAGAGACCGCCTGTAATGTCTCCTTAATTTTAAATAAACATGTTTACTGACATTTACAAATACATTGAAATAAATATTTAATTGTATATGAATGCTTCGCAAATGCTACACGCTCCAAAAATGGCTTTAAACTTTTTTTTATTCTGGACAGAGTAACAGAAAAAAACTCGCACTTGTTCCATTATAGTACGAAATGAGATACTGCTTTAAATGGTAAAAAAAATTCCGATTCATAGTAATCTCACAGTTTAAACATTATTTCCTATTAGACTAATGGTAAAAAAATTCCGATTCATAGTAATCTCACAGTTTAAACATTATTTCCTATTTACAATCGCATTATTAATCAGCAATGGCGAGACAACAATACATTTTTTTTGCGTGTCAGATGCGCTCGTGGCCATCAGATGAGGAGTGCACAGAAACACACGCAACAGAGATCCCACATGTCACCTTTCACTCGCTTGTTGGCGGAAGTTCTGTTCGCGAGCACCTATAAGGCGGGCACGACGCACGAAACGGCGGTGTTGTGATTAGAAACACATCCGACCACCTTTGTCTCCCCACTCGCTGATGTTTTACACGCCGCGCTCGGTAATCATTTGAGGCTGAGTTAATCTAGGTGAGACCCATGACCGGTTCAGACAATCGTCACTGGTGTTGGCCCCGTGTGAGAATCGAGTCTGGTCAAACAGCCCCCTTATGACCTGCACGGAACTGGGGGCAGCCCTCATCCAGCAGTGGACTAATACAAGGGCTATACACGTGTACATGCAGGTCTCATTCAAGACACCGAATGTGTATCGTACAATTGTTACGTTCACAATATATCGATGTTAGCCGTGGCCGGCAATCGAACTCAGGTGGGCTGGGTTCGTAAAGGGATGCACAGGAACCACTGTCCCACTGCTTTCCACACCAAGACAAAGATTCCCCGTATAGGCTTTAATACTGTTGTGGAAAGTGCTGTTAGCAAGCACCTATGAGAGGGTGAGTAGCCAGCACCATACCCGACCGCCTTTATCTCCCCAGTGGCGATGCTTTTTATTACTTTACACACCGTACCACTGTACTCATTTTGGGCTGAGTCGACCCCAGGGAGGCCCCGGACCAGTTCCGATAATCGTCACTGGTGTTGACCGTGACCGGGAATCGAACTCGGGTCGCCGGGTTCATAGCGCAGCGCGCTAACCACTACTCTACCGCTCCCCACCACCACCACACACCACACACACACACCACCACACACACACACCACACACACCACCCACACACCACCACCACACACACCACCACCACACACACACCACCACCACACACACCACCACCACCACCACACACACACCACACACACACCACACATACACCACACACACCACACACCCCCCACACACACACCACCACCACACACACACCACACACACACCACACACACACCACACACACGGTGGGTAGACAGCTGGGCTGGTGCACATCACACACGTGGGATGCTCCATATGAACCGCGCAGAGGGATTCGGCAAGGCTCGTGGGGGACCCATCGCCTGCGAACGGCCGAGGCTTCCGCACTTTTGACCGCAATGCCCCTTCGTGCTCGTGTCACCACTTTGTTTGGAGCGAACGAACGGCAGCGCGTGCGATGACCCGTACACGATGCCCCCTCTACACCCCAGCCCCCACCGTGTCTCTTCTGGCAGCGTGGCCCCCATCATCAACTCCCTCTCCCTGCCTGCCACGCGGGGTTCAAACTGCAGCAGGCAGCAGCAGCAGCAGCAGGATGACTCTTTCGATTTCAAGCTTGCGTGACTGCAGGGATTCATCTTCTTGGTTCTTTCGGTAAAGTCACGTAGAAGGGAAATGTAAAATAATAAATAATAAAACATAATAAAATAATTCTCACGACGTTTCGGCCACAACGGCTGCTTGCTTGCGTTGTGGACGAAACGTCGTGAGAATTATTTTATTCTGTTTTATTTTTATTATTTTATTATTTCCCTTCTACGTGACTTGCTTGCGTCGTGGCCGAAACGTCGTGAGAATTATTTAATTATGTTTTATTTTTATTATGTTATTATTTCCCTTCTACGTGACTTTACCGAAAGAACCAAGAAGAGGATGACTCTTCATTGACGACGCCTCTTCATTGACGACGCGCTGTCACGCAACCCCCTGAGTTCACGCGAGCAAGGGAAAGGGAGCAATTGAATTAGACCCGACAGGCACGTGCACGCACCAGCACACAAAACAAAACAAGAGATCCCCCGGGTAGCCTGCAACAGGCTGTTGGGCCAAGTGCCGTTCGCGAGTAGCACCAACGAAGGCCGGCACGGCACACGAGAGGGTGGGTGGTAAACACCACGCCCGGCCGCCTTTGTCTCACCAGCGGCGATGGTCACACACCGGGTACTCATTTGAGGCTGAGTCCACCTAGGGGAGGTCCATGACCGGTTCAGGTAATCATCACCGGTGTTGCCCACAAGAGGGAATCGAACTCGAGTCACCGGGGATCTAAGTCCACTCCCGCTCACACGGCACGCTCCCACACCCAACAAAGTTAGAGATGAGCAAAGACAAAGATCCCTGTATAGACTGAACAGACTGTTGGGGCAAGTGCTGTTAGCGAGGACCATTTCAAGGCCGGAACTAAACACGAGGGGATGAGTGGCCAGCACCACGCCCGGCCGCCTTTGTCTCCTCAGTGGCAATGTTGTTTACGCACCGCACCAGGCACTCATTTGAGGCTGAGTAGACCTAGGGGAGGCCCAGAACCGGTTCAGATAATCGTCACTGGTGTCGGCCGTGAGCGGGAATCGAACTCGGGTGGCCGGGTTCGTAGCGCAGCGCGCTAAACGCTACACTCCCGCTCCCCACTAAGTTAGTGATGAGCACACGTGCGCACACACACACACGTGTACGCACACCTGCACACTCACACAGTGTGCTAACCACTGTGCCACCGCTTCCCACACACACACAGCGTGCTAACCACTACACTGCCGCTCCCCAAACACACACACACACGCGCATTCGGTATGTTTTATTAGTCTTTTATTTACGCTAACACGGCAATCTCTTCGCCAACCGGGGAGGGGGGGGGTTAGGTTCCTGGAAAAGGTCGCGGTGAGCAAATCCGCGGTTGGTGAAGTACAGGGCCTATGGGAAAGAGGGGGTTAGGGGATCCACGGCCATGGTCAGACTCGTCATAACTTCACTAACTTGCCTGTTTATTCACCAACACACCGAGTAAAATATAGTACATTACACAATAACGTAACAAAACGTAAATACACATTACATTAACTTTATATACATTTAATATTAACGATGATTGTGACTATGCATGTATGTTGCACTTCAACGAACTAAAGTCGAATGATGGGGGAAGGGGGTGGATAGAAAGAGGAGGGGCTCAGCCCACTCTGCCCTCTTCCTCTGGGTCATCAATGACAGATGAGTGGGCAGGCGTACGTCATCGGAATGGAATCGGAAGAAAACATTAAATAATTTGATTTTACTTACCGAGGCGCCCACAAGGCCATGCGGGAGGGCGTACGACCCAGTTTGGCGCCAGCTATCATCGAGTGAGGTCGTGTCGCTGCAGTACTCGGCGGTGAGTACGACGTCTTTAAAAACAACGGCGCTACGTCTCTAAATAAAATGAACGTTAACCGCTTGCGCGTTCCAACATTCAGCGGTGAACGGGATACCCGCCCTGCAACTTGCAGACGTCTCGGAACGGGAGAGGGTTCATGTGAATGCGATGATGGGACTCGGTCTTTGCGCTTCGAGAATCACCGTACTGGACAGCGCAACAAAACAGACGGACAGCTGATAAGCTACGCACGCCACGGGTGACCATGGGTGGTGTCGTGGCGCCGAGTGGAATCGCGGTCCCGCGAAATTTGTAAATGCGCGTTGCAGGCCCGGGGCCTACCCTTGGATACTCAAATTACCAAGCCGCGGTTGATTGATTTAGTATACAAACCATCAGCCGTGTATACATGAATCCGCGGTTGGCAAGTCCGCGGTTGGCGAGGGCTTGTGGTAATAAAGCGCTGTGTTCGAACATAAACTTCCTGCCTTTTTTACACAAACCCGCAGCCTCGCCATACCAGTGAGCACAGCTACAAGTCTGTCCTACGTGGGTGTGCGATCAGTGAGAATTCACCGCCCGTTTGGCGTTGACCGGACGGCTACATAGCTGTGCGGCATTTCTACTCTTGCACCTCACCAGCCAATCGTACACGCTTAAATCCCCCCGCCGCCCCCCGCCCACCTCGTGATTGGATGAAAATATCAGGCCTCCTGATTGGTTCATAACTCGTGTCCCCATGGCATTATTCCCACGCACCACGATGTCACCGCCGCGCGTTGACGTCACAGTCGCAGGATGTGACGACGAGGACAACCCGCACTTCCCCGCCCTCCCCACCACCCCACAGCCATAAATCAGCGTTTTTCATGTTGATGTTTACAGCTATAATTATTGTAGCTGCACGGTGCGGGTGAGGGTCGCGGGTGGGCTGCTGGGGTTTAAAGCGCTATTTACTTAACCTCGCCGAAGACCGATTCCAGCTGATAATTAGCCACCACAACCATCGCTGTACGCCTTTTCAAGCGGAGCATGGCATGACGCAAGTTGCATTCAGGCGAATTCCCGGCGGGGCTTATCATGCCCGGCATCATCTTCCACGGCGCTTAACCAATTGTGGTTGTAGTCGTGTAGCCATGGAGACGGAGTGTTTTAGCTCACCGTGCACGTGCTGTGCCGCTCTGAGTGATAAACACCTGGACCTCTACTCTGCCGATTGACACGCGATGGCCTATGTGATGTGAGCAAAATAACAGCTTTTGTTACGGCGATGAGCGGCGGCGCAGTAGTAGGCTAGTTTTTCGCACCTCCGATTAGCGCGGTTGGCTACGTACGGTGCTAAACGAGTTCAACATGCATTGGGCAATTGCATTCTGAACACAGCGACCCGAGTTCAATTTGTAGGCCACAGCTAAAATTGGTGGAAAGCAGCATCTCAAACCGGTCCTGGCCCTCCCATGTACACCACCCCGCACTGACAAGTTTGGGTGAAATATGGTCACCGACACGGCGTGGGGATGCCTTCAGTCCACCAGTGACAAACGGGATACATCTTTTTATCACTACTTACACCAATAAGGCAAATCTTATGGCAATTAGCATTGTAACATGCAAACGTAATGGCAAGACCCATCTTAAAGATCGTGTCCTCGTCGTCATCATCATCATGGAGTCACCTTGAGGGCGCGATGATTATGGGATTCCAACGTGGGGTGGGGTGGGGGGGCGTAGTAATCCTCAGGAGACTCTCACGAGGAGCGGGAACAGGACCGCGTTGAAGAAGTACAAACTCAAGAGCACGAGGCACGAACTTCAACCAAACCGGAATCTCGGCAGGTACTTCACGACCTCCTTTCCGCGGCTGCCGCCCGGGGTCTCGATCTGCCCGTGCTTGGAGGCGGCGCCCGCTCGCGTCTCGGCCTGCCCGCCGAGTTGCTGCCGCACGGGCGGCACGCGTCTCGGGCTCGAACTCACGACCCTGAAGGCGCGCTCGCCGGCGGCCGCGACCCGCCGCAGCCGGGGCAAGAAGTGCGTGGAGGCGTGCTGGCGGCGTACGCGGGGGCTCGCGCCGCGGCGGGCGCGGCCCAGCTTGTTGAGGGCCACGAGCCACGCGCCCTCGCCGCCTGAGCCCGTGGCGGCCCCGTAGCGCTCGGACGCGTACGTGTTGTGGCCGTTCTCCTGGAAGCTCTCCGCGAAGAGGCACTCGTCCGTGAAGGAGCTCTGCGCGGAGGAGACGCACACGCCGAGCGGGGGGGGGGGGGGGACCAACAACGATCTGGTTTGTTTGTTTGTTACGCTTGCGCAATAAGTCTGCCGCGATTAAGCGGGTTGGTTTGGATATTGTCGCGTTATGGTTCGCTGTGGTGGCGCGGTGGCTATTGCGCTGTGCATTTAAGCGGGCAACCTTGGTTCGGCAACTACTTGATCATACTGGCACAAGACAGAGGGGAGTGGAAACAAATGACGAAATGTGCAGGGGACACCTATGGCCTATCTGCCCATGGATCGTGATGATCATGATTACAGGTCATAGCAATAATTCACTGTGTAACAAAAACATGTTTTTTTGTTCCTGGGTAGTGTTGTTTCCTAATTGCTTATGCCTCACAAGTAAAAATAAATGGTTATTATTCCCCACAAACTTTGCTTTTGTGACCAGGACAGTGATGTTTTGAAATTGACCTATTTTCAATGAGAAAACGTGGTGTGCATTTGTGTCATTCCTTCACATAAAGTCCTGGTCACGAAAGCAAAGTTTGTGGGAATAGCCATTTTCTGTACTTTTGAGGCATAAGCCAATGGAAAATAGCACTTACTACCCAGGAACAAAAATCGTGTTACATAGGCATCTCCCCCCTTCACCAACCCGCAGTGACCAGACCGGTGAAATATGGTGAAACAACCCCATCGATGACCGGCACGGTGTGAGGAGGCCTGACAAAAATCAGTACCAGATATCCATTGTTATCATTATTAAGTGTCTTGTAGCAGATGCAGTGCCGAGGTCATGTTCATTGGAGAGCATCGAGAATGCAATGTTGCAATTATCATTGCAATTTTGAATATAGGTTACACTTAGGGACGGCCTCGATACAGCTATGACATGCGTTCAAGCATCTTCCTGTTATATAGCAAATGGGTATATTTTTTAAAATACCGGTTTGGCAAGAGGAAGTGTTTTACTTAAAGTAGGACGACATTGGCCATCATCTGCAAAACACATTCTAAGGAACACAATTCCACATTGTGGGCTTCGAGTAAACGTCTATTAAACACTAGCTTTACTACCCGGCTTTGCCCGAGACTTGGATTCTTGCCTTGGATTAATACACGGCCTATGCGGAGGGTTGGGGTGCGTGACGTCAGCAGGCACACTGCGTGACGCTGCCGCATGCGGGTGACATCACAGATGTGACGTCACCTCTCACTTGCCGTGCAAAATATATCCATTATTGCGCCCCCCCCCCCCCCCCCCCCAAATAAATACAAAAGTCTATTTTTATACTTTTTGCATTGTGTAGAGTCAGGAAACTACCCATATGCCAAATTTGAAGTTTGCTGCATGTCGGGAAGTATGCTAAACATTTCGAACAGACACACATATTCACAAATTTCCCTTTTTGATATAGATAAATAAGAATATAACGATTGAGTTATTCGAGTCCTTACCGTCGCGTATAATTTTCCTTTCCTGTTCATGGCCAAAAACCGGCGACTGGAGACGCCCCAGATGCCCACAACTCCTCTGGCGACGGAGAAAATCTCCAGGACACCTGCGGTGCGAGCGAGATTCAAATCGGTAGGAAACTCTCACACCCAATCATTCACTATTTCAAAGTGCAGCCCGGCGATTGCTTGATCATGTCGTTGTTGTTGTTTTTTTTTGCTGGCGGAAGGACCTTCTGGAGCTAATGGGGCTCCTCTCAAGATCCCCCACTCCTAGGGGATTGTGGCCTCATCTGGCATGCTGGCCAAACGTGGAAGAAAACCAACCACACCTGACCTCTGTTGTACCCATTAACACTTGGCTAAGCGGACAGGGTGGGTTTTAAAAACCTGCCCATCGTGAGATGCAATTATCATGAATGAGGCAATATCAAATGTAATTATTATTGTTGTTTAAATTGCCGAGCCGGGAGATAAAACTATACAAATTATTGAAAGCTTTTTTAAACAAAATAGCAACCGGCGACCTCTAGATTGTGGGATCAATGCTGCTAACCATCTCGCCAGGGCATCATCCCAGACAACAAATGTCTGCCGCATGAACTCCGATTAGCATGGTTGGCTACGTACGGGGCGAACCAAGTTCAACATACATACATACATTCGACATACATGAACTCACTATCTTCTTGGTTCTTTCGGTAAAACATAATAAAATTATTATGTTTTATTTTTATTATTTTATTACTTCCCTTCTCCGTGACTTTACCGAAAGAACCAAGAAGATGAATCTCTGCAGTCACGAAAGCTTTACATCGAAAAATGAACTCACTACAATATCTTTTTTGCTGCTCCGGCTGCCTGGAATTCCCTCCCCTCTAGGGCCATCTGCAGGGCTGATTCTCTCCTCGTCTTGAAGTCCAAGCTTAAAAGTATTTCAAGGAGAATAAACCATCATGCTACCTCCGGTCATCCTCGCAGCATCGCACGCTCTTAGATGTGCATCTGCGGCCGTCTGGAACACTCTTCCATCCAATATTAGGAAACCACTGGAGCTATGCACTTTTAAATTTAGATTGCAAACTAATTTCTTTAGAACTGCTTTTTGTTTTAAGTTTGTTGTCCTTCCCCCACACACCTCCGATTATCACGGTTGGCTACGTGCGGTGCGAAAGAAGTTCAACATACTGTACATCCCCCTCCAATTCTCCCCCCCCCGCCTGCCCTTCCTCCACCATTACAATGATCGCCCCATTTGTTCCCCAGATTCACGTCCAATTCACGTTATACAAGCCTATGGCCAAGTCACCCGGAGTGCTCTCAATCTCGTCGGATCACGGCTGCCAAGGTTAGATTTGAGCCGAGGTAGTGCTGGAATGGGTGGCTACGGTGCCCGAATGGGGGTTTCTTAAGCATGCAGGGGGCCTACATAGAGGACAACAGAGGGCAGTGTTGCGAAATCCACTCGTTGTCGTACCATTTGCACGCGTTGCAATAACCATTCATCACCGACCAACCCACCGACGTTCCCACGTTCTGCCCACCAATCCACCAGTAAATCCACCCGCCTACCCTATCCACCAACCAATCCACTCGCTAATCCACGCCACTCATCAACCGATCCACCCATTTAGCCACCTACCTATGAGTGTACACAGAGCCTGCTGTGCGTCATTGTATCGGGGTCTAGTGTCCTCTATATTTAAACGTCTGTGTTGCACATTCGATGGAGTGACACGGGGCCACGTGTCACTCCGTAATGACCTTGCAGGGCTTACGCGTAAAGCATCGTCCCCGGCACGTCAGTGCAGACAGCGCCGATGACATTGACGTGACGCATTCAGATATCCTGGGATCCTTCAGAGTGAACGGTGAGGATGTTTCAGAGAACCACAAAAAAAAAACCATGGCACTCGATAGAGAGGGGTAGAGACAAGTATTGTGCAGTGTATGCTGGGAATACCTGGCTGGTTTCGGCGCTGGGTTGAATAAATACAACATTTAAAAATGAAAATAAAATATGTTATTTAATATTCTGGGTTGCACCAGAAAATCCTCTTTTTTAATTAAATATTTTATTCCGTATCCTTCCACATTATACATTGCCAAAATCCTGACGTTCTGGACGGCATTAGCAGGGAAATCGACGGTATCAGGCACACGGGACTCACCAGAGCAGGTGGGGGTTGGGGGGTATTGGCCCGCTCATTGCCGTTCTGGGCTCAGGTATTCAAGACTCTTCTAAGATTTAGGAATGGACCCCATGCACGTGCTGTGTTCTTCTTCCTTGTCTCTGAGCTTATAGTTCAGATGCCCCAGTTGCTGGGATTGGGCCTAATGAAGACAGCCATATCCACTTTCTTCACGAAACACAGATATTTCTGCGTGAAAGCCACAGTTGGCCCATTTTCTATCTCGTAGTGGTAGTACTTAATCTTGTTGTATTAATGTTTTACGTAGTATTGTCAAATATGCATGTTTCAATTTCCAGCAGTGGAATTGAGCATTGCTTATTCTAAATATTACCATTCAATCTACATTCAATCATAAATGAAGCTTCTCGCACTACGCAATTCGATATACTGTACGTGACTTGAGCGTTCGCATCGATTTGTGTTAATCGGGAAAGCAAAAATAACAAGAAAGAGACATTCTTGTCGAATTTGGTTTACAAATATATCAAACAACCTTGACTACGATAATTGGTTTTTTACCCTTCTATCTGGCAACAAAACTGACATCTTTTTACAAGGAGTCATGTTTGCATAGACCGCAATACCTGCAGTCATAATACAAACAAAAGACATAACTCTGACAATGTGCACTGTCCTTGAAGTTGATTGGTCCACACCTGAGACAGCTTTCCTTAGAGCCTAGTCTCACATGGGTTGGACCAGATGACGCTAAAATATATCAAAAAGGCCTTTTGGCGTCATCTGGTCCAACCCATGTGAGACTAGGCTCTAAGGAAAGCTGTCTCGGGTGTGGACCAATCAACTTCAAGGACAGTGCGCATTGTCAGAGTTATGTCTTTTGTTTGTATTATGACTGCAGGTATTGCCGTCTATGCAAACATGACTCCTTGTAAAAAGGTGTCAGTTATGTTGCCAGATAGAAGGGTAAAAACCCAATTATCATATTTTTACTGGCAAATGAGGTTCCCATAGTGTAGAACCTTGACTACGTCAAGAGCCGCAATGCACTGTGGGTGAATACGAGACGTGGGGTCCTTAACTGTCACGAGGCAGCGGTCCTTCAAGAGCCGCATGGCGACTCCGGAAGCCGAAGGTTGCCGAGCCCACGATGTGTCAACAACATATTGTGACACCGCGAGTCGCGAATTGCCATCACAATGCCCATCGCGTGCCCTGCGCGTGGTGGTGCCTGCAGAGGGCAGCACAGCAAAGCGACTCTCCTTGCTGGAATTCAGCATTGGCCTCAATTACGCACACGGCTTTTATTTTAGCAAGCCACCCGAAGCCTCCTCCCAAGAGTAAATATCCACGAACGGTGCCCACCGAGCCGTACTACAACTTATAATCCAGAGTTCTTATGAAAACAAATATATACGACAGCAGCAGTGTTTTTATTATTATTAAAGTTAGAGCGTTAAAGTTAAAGTTAGAGCGCTGTCTTTCCGACAGACCTGTTCTTCACCTGAGGACGGCTGCTTGCGTTGTGGCCGAAACGTCGTGAGAATTGTATTATTTTATTATTTTTATTTTTATTATTTTATTACTTCCCTTCTACGTGACTTTACCGAAAAAACCAAGAAGATGAATCCCTGCAGTCACGAAAGCTTTAAATCAAAATTTACCTCCATGCTCCTTACGATGTAAACCCCCCGCCCCCCAGTGAGACTATCCTCACTGGGGGGGGGGGGGGGGGGGGGTTAAATAGTAACGCAGCTTGAGAAATAGTATTGGCTCGTAGAAACAAACAAAAAAAAGCCAGCGTGCTTGGGCAGAACAGCTCGCGAGAGACCAATCAGAGGCTGTGGTCAAGACCTGCGGCGGAGTGGCGGCTAAAGGAGGGAGCTCGTCCGAGAGGACGCACCCCGTGGGGTGGCGCCGCTTCATCGCTTCGCGTGCGTCCGGGAGCTCGACGGACAGTCGCATCGCAAGACAGAGAGATGCACAACACAACTTTGGGGGGTGGGGTGGGGGTCATTGTTGAGCAGTCGATGCCTCGTGATCGCTGCTAATAGTAAAGCTTCCTCGGACTAAGGCACGATATAAATCTACGCTGGCCAGACACGCTGTATAGGCTGCGTTGTGGTATTATTACGCACGGCTGCAATGCGTTCAGGAGCCGCGCGGCGACGAACGCCGATGTCGAAGCCAGCACGCCGAGAGGGCTTGGGCACGCAGGCGGTTAGTCGGGCCGTACTCACTGAACGAGTTGGCTCTGTGGGTGCCGCTGATCTTGCCGCTGGGTCGCAGCTGCAGGTGGAATCCGATGCCCACCTGGCAGTAGAGCCGACCTCGCCGGCGCGCCGCCCTCGCCCACCCGTGCATCCTCCGAAGGTCACGCACGGCCCTCGACGGTGACTGGCGCCTCTCACCGCCCGTGAGCCTGCGTCTGCAGGAGGGCGGTGGTGGTGGTGGTGGTGGCGGTGGTGGTGGCGGTGGTGGTGGCGGTGGTGGTGGTGGCGGTGGTGGTGGCGGTGGTGGTGGTGGTGGTGGTGGCGGTGGTGGTGGTGGCGGTGGTGGTGATGGTGGTGGCGGTGGTGGTGGCGCTGGTGGTGATGGTGGTGGCGGTGGTGGTGGCGGTGGTGGTGGCGGTGGCGGCGGTGGTGGTGGTGGTGGTGGCGGTGGTGGCGGTGGTGTTGGTGGTGGTGGTGGCGACTGCTCCGGGTCGCGCCACGTGGCCGGCACGGCGAGCAGGAGGGTGAGGAGCACGCTGCTCAGTACGATGAGCGAGGCGTGCCCACAGCACATTGCCATGCCGGGGGACGCGCGGGCTGGCCAGCTGTCAAAGGTGACAGCGGAGACCACCGCGGTGGGTGAGCGGCGTTGGAAGGTCGGACGCTTTGGTGGCACGACCAGCGGGGTGAAGTATGGTCAAACAACCTCGCCCTATGGTCGAGTGACGTGGAAATTAAGCTCATCCAGCGGTGGATTGACAGCAGGGCTGTACAAATCAATACATATCGACGTTTACAGAGTCCCACGAACGGCAGTTGTATAGATGATGAAACGACGTATACGATAACAAAGCACAGTAATCTAGTATTCTATATCGTCTGTAGGTGGTGTTGATGTGCATATTAACATTTTCATATTCGCCACCCAGGCTGGAGATGAGCAGTGCGCAAACATCCCCTTCCTAAATATCAACCGAAAGCCTTTCGTTCATTTATCTCCTGCAGATTCGGATCTGTCTCGTCTAAAGACTTACCCTCTTTCTCTCTCTTTCCACGCTGAATGATGATGACCGGAATGACACACAAACTCTCTCTCTCTCTCACTCACTCGCACGAGCGTCTGTTCTTGTGCAGCACGAGTGGTGCACTGGGACTCCGTCGGGTGACGGAGAATGGAGATTCAGCTCCGTCTCTCACAGCGCTCCCCATCCCACCGGCAGCTCCAGTGACGACTCCACCATAGAGTCCCAAGAGGCGCATGGATTTGCACCATCACCAGCTAAAAAAAACCTCCCAAACACAAGGGATCCATCTGGGAAATCCACTGGGACCCTCCGACACTTGTATCTGCATGACGCCCTCTTCGCAACAACAACAGCAACAACTATCTTTACTTCATACAGCAATCGTGCTGTGACGGTTCCACCTGAAGACGGAAGCTTGTGTTGCCTCCGAAACGTCGTGATTTTTTATTTTACTTTTATTAATTTTAATTTTATTTTTTTACCTACGTGACTTTACCGAAAAAACCTAAGAGTATGAACAGCAACAACAACAGCAAGAAAAACCAACGCACAATTTGACAGGAGCCGATCACACATTGTGCCGAAGAATAAGAAGAAAACGAAAACGTGCTCTAAATTAACATCTCCATTGGCGTGGCGCGCCATGGAATGACGGAGCGATCAGGAGCGCGTCCCGAGCCCGTCCCGGAATGTCGACCGGGGCGCGGGACTTGCATCGCCACTTCGCCGGAATGGGCCACGTAAACCCCCTTCTCTCTTTTGTTTTACTTCCCCCCCTCCACCACACCGCCTGTCTCGCCGTTTCCGGCGAGACGTTTAAAGCCCCGAACGCGAACAGATGAGCCCCCACCCCCCCCCCCGGGCTGATCGATAACGTGCGTCGAAACCGAAGCTCAAAATGTACGCGAGATTTCCCTGCGTCGTATCCCGGATTTTAGTTGGAGCACTCTACACAGGCCACGCTGGCATCGTCGCGTCGCATACGCAATATCGTGTCGACATCGGCTCATATATTGACCCGTCCCTCGGCTGCTCGCCATATGGAACATGATCAATAGTGCCCTTTTTAGTATCGACTTAACACCCTCGACAACACAAGGCCCAAATGTCTGTCGAGAAAATTCACGTGGTAATGGCCCATTCCCGTCAACACTCAAATCCATCCGTCTCGTGTCGAAGGCGATGGAGGGTCTTTTTTGTTTCTTCAAATCTGTAAATGATGATAAGAAAACAAAAACATTACAACTTAAATTCTAGATTTGAAGCTTTCGTGACTGCAATGATTCATATTTTTAGGGTTTTTCGGTAAAGTCACGTAGGTGAAAAATTAAAATTAATAAAAGTAATATTACTTTCATTAATATTACTTTTATTTATTTTAATTTTTCACCTCCGTGACTTTACCGAAAAAACCTAAGAATATTACAACTTAAAATTGTATTACAGGGTGGGAAAAAAATATTTAACAACACACAGATGTGCGAACGGAAGCTCTCAGCCTTAACCAGACCACCAACTCAAAAGAACTACCATGCGTGGCCCGTTTTTATAGTTTCATGAGACAACTGTGGAAGTCTGTGCAGCTCTCATTCGTTTCAACGCGAATACAAAACAACAACAACAAACAATTTTTCGATTTAAAGCTTTCGTGACTGCAGGGATTCATCTTCTTGGTTCTTTCGGTAAAGTCACGTAGAAAGGAAATAAAAAAATAATAAAAATAAAACATAATAAAATAATTCTCACGACGTTTCGGCCACAACGCAAGCAGGACGGCTGCTTGCGTTGTGGCCGAAACGTCGTGAGAATTATCTCCCTTCTACGTGACTTTACCGAAAGAACCAAGAAGATGAACAACAAACAAACCAACCAACCCAAGAACGACACCAGCGCGTCAACGTGGGAGCCACGTGTCGCACACACCACTCCCGAGACGGGAATTTGCCTTCGGCTGTCGCCCTCTGTTGACACCGAGGTGTAAACACACCCACAAACACCCTGGCGACTAAATCGTCTGTACTCCATGTATTTTTAGGGGGGTTAGATCGCGTAAAATATATTAATGTGTCGTCAAACCCACCACCACCTGACACAGCCAGCTCGTGAGGGTTGTCACGTCAACAGAACGTGGCCAATTCGTCACTAGTACAGCACTAATGTATAGTGTAGTGTATAGTGTTGTGTAGTGTATAGTGTAGTATACTAGCACAGCACTAGTGTGTAGTGTAGTGTATAGTGTTGTGTAGTGTATAGTGTAGTATAATAGTACAGCACACCGGTTGTGTGTTGGAGAGCCAAGCCACAACATTTACAATCCGACTACGACGTTTCGCCAGTAATTACAACTAGCTTCATCAGGCGACAGACAGATTTATTTGTAAGTCGATTCGTCTGTTCTGTACGAGTCAGCAGCAGCGCATCGGCCGTGGGGCAAGCGGGGGGGGGGGGTGCCTAGCCCCCCCCTCCGCCCCCCCCCCCTTGACAGCCACCACCAAGAAATTTGTCTTCAACAGTATTGCCCCCCCCCCAACCTGAGCGATGGCCGCACCCCCTGAGCTGACAATGTAGTTGCTACGCCGGTGGTGTGAGTTAAGTGTTGCTTAGCGAGCACGTGTCAAGCTCGACAACGCAACGCACAGGAGAGAGTCTTGTAGTTACGGCCTGGCTGCTTTTGTCTCCCCATTGCTAGTGTGTGCACAGAGACTCCTCTACTTACGAACGAGTAAGGTTCAAGGCAGAGGTTGCAACCGGGTACCCGATACCCGTACCCTACCCGATACCCGGCTACCCGTACCCGGTCGGGTACGGGTACCCATTTGCGACCCTGGTGCGGCCGGGTACGGGTACGGGTAAGGAATCAAAACCCATTTGCGACATCTGGTTCAAGGGGTCTGTTCGTAAGTCGATTTGTTCGTAAGTCCAACTTTACTCCTCTCGATTCCAAACATGTTGTACGGCATGCACACTAAACACGGGGAATGGCTTTGAAAGTTGTGTAATCTCCTGCAGATGTAGATGAAACTGGTTCTTCACGTTTTGCAGATGTAGAAGCCACTGGTTCTTCACGTTCTGCAGATGTAGATGCCACTGGTTCTTCACGTTCTGCAGATGTAGATGACACTGATTCGTCACGTCCTGCAGATGTAGATGCCACTGGTTCTTCACGTCCTGCAGATGTAGATGCCACTGATGCTTCACGTCCTGCAGATGTAGAAGCCTGCACCGTATCCCCCCGTAGCAGCCTATCGACACAAGGTGGGCTGCCCATCCTCAGCACTTACCGGGCTCAAGGCTGCTTAGCTTCCGAACATCTGGGCGACGAGATCGGGCGCGTTCCGTGCGATTTTGCTCATCAGCGTCCTATGTTCGCGTCCAAAGGACTGCTTTGTAACGTCGTTTATTAAGGGACAACCACCACCGCCACCGTCTCGTATTGACCCACGTGCATCGCGGCTCTTGAAAGATTGATCGGGGGGGGGGAGGTGCGGGTACTGAAGTCGATAAACATTAGCTCTCCTTGTTATGTTGGTTGCATGAGCGGAAATAGTGAAAAATAAAACCCCACCCTCCTAATCAGTGCCGGATTAAGCTAGTGCGGGGCCTGTAGCACATGCTATAAAGAGGCCCTAAATAAAAAAAAAACACACGTAAATATTAAAACACGCACATTTTTTTACTTGCGTCGTAAAGCAATTGTATTTTTTCATTTGCTAAACAGCCAGATAATACAACAAATTGCCAACCTTAAACACCCAGTCGTTCACAAAAATTGAAGGCAGTATAGTACTATAGTGATAGAGCAAGTGCAGAATCACTGAACCGGAATTGGTAGCTTGAAAGCATTTATCGCGGGGCCCGTGGCAATAATATGTAGCTAAATTTCGATTTAAAGCTTTCGTGACTACAGGGATTCATCTTCTTGATTCTTTCGGTAAAGTCACGTAGAAGGGAAACAATTTTCACGACGTTTCGGCCACAACGCAAGCAGCCGTCCTGCTTGCGTTGTGGCCGAAACGTCGTGAGAATTATTTTATTATGTTTTATTTTTATTATTTTATTATTTCCCTTCTACGTGACTTTACCGAAAGAACCAATAATATGTAGCTACTTTTGCTACCGGGGTCAT